CAAATTTTTTTTTTTTTTTTTTTTTTTTAAGTGGAGCAGTTTGATTCTTTAGGCGAAATCTAAAAAGAAAAAGCGTGCATATGTGTCTTTGTTGAGTATCAGGCTTTTTATTCTCATATCATAATAAGGATGTGGAGCTCATACTTGAGGGAGAAAAAACACCTACACTCTGAGGAAAGATATTAAATTTGCAGTTGCTGATCTTTATATGGCCAAAAAGTGAAGATGTAATTCTGATAGCTAATGTAAATCAATGAGATCTTTATAACAGTATAGCAGACACTTACATAAAACACGAATAAATATCAGTTGTCACTCGTGCAATTTAAATGCTTTGTTTACGATCAAAGCTCTGTCAGTTTTATTGTGAGGGAAAAAACATAATGCAATGCAATACAAAGATGCTTGAGAGATGAATGAATAAATGTTCCTCAAAAACATGATGCGTCATATTTGATCCTTGCATTTTAACGTGATTTATGGATACTCAAGTAACACCTGTTTCAGTCCAGCGGGTGTTCATCTTGAAATATTGCTAACAGTTACAGTACCTTCATAAGTTTCTCTTACATTTACGACATAAAAATCAGAAAAGATTTCACAGTTAAAAGACACGTGTATCATGAGCTGAAATAAGTTTTTAGAATGGACATTTTTAGAAAAGGCCTTTTACTTGCTAAAAAAGTATAAACTATCAGTCATATGACAGAAGGAATATAGTTTTGATCATGTTGATAATTTCCCTATCAAATATGATGCACTAGGCTTTATAGGGTTAACCTGCTTAGGATTTATTTTTGTCAGGTTTTCTTTGGTGCTTTTCCACCAGACCTTTATTATGAGGGTATTTCTGATGACGTCACTAAACGGTTCTGCTCTGTTTATGGCTTTTAAATGCTTTCCTCCAGTCTAAACAAGGAAATCACATGGCAGATGTTTCAAATAATCTGCCTTTATATATTTCCTGGAATATTAAATGACTTTTAGATACACTGCACTTACTCTGTTACTCAAGGCTCTGATTTATGGTTTTTAATGCTTTTTTAAAAAATTGTTCATAAAGTCATGGAGGAGCTGGACCCGGAGGAGCAGTTCCTCAGGGATTCTAGGAACGGCAACCTAGAAGGAATCCAAAAGCTTTTGATGTCCAAGATAAAGGAGGAGGCCAAAATCGACATCAACTGCAAGGGTAGAACACTTCATTAGGTTTCTATTGACCACTTGAATGTTTCTAGACATATTGGAGTACTTCTAACAGCGTTACGTTGTTTCAGGCAAGAGCAAATCTAATCATGGATGGACTCCTCTTCATCTGGCCTGCTACTTTGGACACAGAGATGTTGTTGAGGCCTTACTGAAGGTATCGATCATCTCAGCCTTTTATATTCTCATATATGTGTGCACTGGTATGTTTCAGAGTAGAATTTGCGCTTGGTATTTTAATGTTTAATTGTTACTCATCTGTGCTTCTTACAGGCTGGAGCAGATGTTAATTTGCCAAATAATGTCGGAGACACACCTCTCCATAAAGCAGCATTCACTGGGAGAAAAGTATGCATTAATGGTATCATACATGTTCATGCACTAGATATTAGATATTAGCTAGATAGACTGATAATCAGTTTGACTAATATAAAAAAAAAAAGAAATGCAGCCAACAATGGTATTACAGAAACATTTGTTTCCTGTATGTCTTTGATAATTGTAAACGTTTTTTACAGGTAAGTAATGTTTTAAATTAAAGATGTAAAATAAATTTGCAACCTCTGAGATCACAAATCAACTTGACATAATTAACAACAATAATTTAAAAGGAGAAATGTTGCTTTGGCGACGAGCTGGTTTATATATATATAAAAATTATGTTTATTTAATGTCAAGTAATGACATTTTTTTTATGGTTTTAATTGAAGTTATCTAATATTTTGATTACATTTGAATATTTTCAAATAATATAATTATTAATAATAATTTATAATGGTTTATCATAATAATATCATAATGATTTATGTTTTTATTGGTGTAGTCTAATAATCATTATCATCATCATTATTATTATTATTGTATCAAAAATTTAAAATAAATCAATTAAAAATCACACATTGTGCACATTGGCTATCGGTTAGCAGTATCGGTCATAAAAGGCATTTTTGGGCAATCTCTAATAGAAGTGCTATACTGTTGAGCCATATGAATGTGTGCAGCCTTAAATCACTGACATACAGTAACTACTCACCTGAATGGTAATACTGACTGGATACTGAAAGCCGAACGCTGATTGGACTCTGAATGCTGGTTTTGCGGTTTAGGAGGTTGTAATGTTGCTTCTTCAGTACGACGCTTGCGCTTCTGTCATCAATGGCATGGCCCAGATACCTAAAGACATTACCCAGAGTGCTGAGATTAAAAGCATGTTGGAGGGTAAGCGTGCTGAAAGTGCATGAAATCGTACTGAACGTGTTTTGGATAAAGTCTGCTGAATGATCACTAAATTATTACCATTCAATTTTTTACCTTCTAGCTGCTGAGAGGACTGAAGAGAGGAAACTAGAGGAGCAGCTGCTGGAGGCGGCGCGGGAAGGAGCCATATCTACCCTCACAAGACTGGTTACCTTGCTAACTACTTGTTGTTCTACCCTGTCGCTAAACCACTTTGAGCAGTTGTAATGTCTGATCTTGTTCTTCGTGTAGCTAAACATGAAGAAACCCCCAAACATAAGCTGCACAGACTTGTTGGGCAACACGCCGCTGCACTGCACCGCTTACAGAGGCCAGAAACAGTGCGCCGTCAAACTCCTGCAACACAAGGCCAACCCCAACATCAAGAACAAAATCGGTAGTGAGCTCCACCTTATTGTAGCGTCATGTTTCAAAGCATTCAACACTGTTGTGTTTGTCGCCAGGGCAATATTTTCTCAATCCGCTGTTGTTTTCATTGTTTTAGTTTCGTTACTGTCATAGTCATATTTTGACTATTTTAGTACAACTACAAATATATATGAAACATTACAATTATTAAAATAAAACAGAATAACGACATGAATTTTTTTTGTTTGTTTTATATTTGAATGACCTCTGACTTTTTGTGGTTGCCTGATACATGTTGATTAATTTTTTGCATTTTTGTTTCTCATTTGTTTTTAGATCAGACTGTTTTTGATTTGGCGAACGATGCAGAAATGAAGCAGATCATTACAGGAAATGTTATGAAAGTAGGTTAATTGGACAGTTCTGATGTAACGATGTCACAAAAATATATGTATTTCAAAAATACCTTGTCCATCACCATATCATAACACTGATGTTTTGCAGATTTTACACTTATTTATGATGGTGTAGCCTTTTTTTGTGAATTTGGTTTCATTGTTACGACACTTTCATCCTATAGGGTATGACGCGACATGTTAAAATGTTCGAGGGGCCTCTTTGGAAGGTATGCTTTATCAAAATCTATAACTATAGTAGACATATTTTGAAAAAGAATTTATTTGTTATTATTTATTTTTATTGATTTTCTTTTTTTTATGTATTTAATTTTCTTTTATATTTTTATTTCAGAGCTCAAGGTTTTTTGGCTGGCGCTCCTACTGGGTAGTTCTTCTGGATGGAGTCTTGTCATGGTACCCTAAACGGTGAGTATCTGCCTCTATTCCCAAAATGTGATGCTATAATTGAAATAAATGTATAATATATAATAGAATGTAATGATAGTAAAATTGCTGGAGTTAAAGACTCATTTTGCAAAATGTGCAGAGATAAATGTTGTAAAACTTCACATTTTTTGGAATGTTTCATATGTGAAGAAAATAAATACTGTAAAATTGTACATTTACAATATTTTTTTAACTCAAGGTCATAATATATAATAAAATGTAATGTTAAAAAAAATTGCTTAAAGACTTGTTTTGCAAAATCTACAGAATTAGTTTTTTATTGTAATGTTTCATTTTTTAATTTAATGTCATAATATATAATACAATTTTATGATAGCAAAATTGCTTAAAGTTGCTTAAAATTTGCAGAATTTTTCTTTGAAAACTGTTTTTATTGTAACGTTTCATCCTTTTTAGCTCAATATATGTATATATATATATATATATATATATATATGTGTATTTATTAGTATATATTTATTGGTGTCATAATAAATAATAAAATATGACAGTAAAATTTCTTAAATTAAAGAGTTATTTAGCAAAATTCAAAGAAATAAATATTTGAAAACTGTCGTTTTTTATTGTGAAGTTTCATCCTTTTTTTAAACCATCATGGTTATAATATATAATACAATTTAATGATAAATAAATTGCAAAAATTAAAGACTTATTTTGCAAAATTTGAAAAAAATAATTTATTGTAGTGTAACTCTTCAAGGTCATAATATATAATACTTTTTAATGATAGGAAATTACCTAAAAAAATGGATTTTCAAAATGTGCAGAAATAAATATTTGAAAACCTTTTTCCCAGTAACTTTTCATTCATTTTTTTTTTAACTCCTCAAGGTCAGATGCAGATTCAAACACTCACCGGCAAGGTTGCAAACCGCTAACACAAGCGCAGAGCTTGGTAAGATTCATTTGATGATTTATCAGCAATGAACAAAATGCTGATTCATGTTTTGTTGGATTGTTAACAGGATTTCTCAAACTGCTTTTCTTTCCAACTTTCAGATTAAAGCGAAAGATAACTGCTATTTCACAGTCAGGTGCTTTGATGACACTGTTCACCATTTCAAAGTGTCACAGAAGAACGACCCCGAATCCACCAGAAAAGTGAGATTCCTTTCAGCTCTGTTGTTAGATTAGACTGGAGTGCGTTACGTATGTTTGTGTGAATGTGTGTTCTTTTTCAGAGGTGGCTGGAGGCCATAGAGGAGCATTCAGCCTTCAGCACTCATTACTGCTCACAAGACCCAGACAGCGAGGAAGAGGAAGACAACGTTGTGTCTGTACATGAGCTTTCTGACTCACTTCAGGTGAGAAATGATATCTGCTTCTTGATTTGTTGATGAAGTCGCATCTTGATGATAAATGCACATCCTTTCTTCCTTATGGAGCTGTTAATCATGTGACAGAATTATTTATAAGCAGAAAAAGGTTGTATTATTTACAAAAAAACTATTACAAAGACGAATAACTTACTGGCAGATAAAAAAAATAGTTGAAAAATAAGTATTTAAGAAATACATATTTGAAAATGTAATTTTTATTGTAATGTTTGGAGAAAAATACTGTGTGTGTGTGTGTGTGTGTGTGTGTGTATATATATATATATATATATATAAACTTTTAAACATACATTGAAAACTTTACAATATATATTACAGACATTTTACAAGTACAGACAATGAGGCTATGTAATACTAAAATTAAAGATTAAATTATTCATTTTTTGTTGTTGTTTGGATCATGTGACAGTGTTATCTATGAGATGAAAAAGGTTGTATTGTTTACATAAACGACAACAAAGATGAATGCTGGCAGTGAAAATTATGTTTTGTTCATTTTTAAAGAATATTTAAGATAATTAAAAACAGTTTGAAAAAATACATACATAAATATTTCTAAAATGTGGATTAAAATGCCATAAGTACATTATATGAATTAATTAATATTAATATTATTTGCAGAAAATAATGGCGCAACTGTCTACTTGAAACATAATATATGTGTATGTACTGTGTATATTTATTATGTATATATAAGTACACACACATGCATGTATATATTTAAGAAAAATATGTTATGTTTATATATTAAATATATTTTTCTATAATATAAATTATATGAATATAAATATATACATGTAAATAAATGTAAATAG